GACTTAACTCCGCTGAGTTTGTTTCGCCGGTTCTTCCCAGAACTGTGGCTTTTTTTTGGAACCGGTGGTAGAGTTAGCATCGTTATTTATATTTTGACATTCAACAAGTGACATTCAACAACATTGAATTTGAATTTTGAATTGAATTTAAGTTCTAAAGTCGCAGGGTGACCGTGTCGCATTTTATTATCGCCGTAAAAAAATCGCCACCAAAGCTTTATTCGTTTTTTTTTTCATGAGTAAATCATAAATAGTATTTCTATCAAATATTAAGTTTATTTAATATGTAATTATTTATATTATTTCGAGGTTACAAACATGCGTTAATTTTGGTATCGCATTTAATTGTATTACAATTAAATAACATTAAGAAATGTATCCTAACAAAAAAGTGTACAATTCTAAATGGAATAATAACGCAATATGTAGTGAACTTTATTTTGTGAACATTAAATGTATCTTTGTTCGAATTATGCGCGTTTGAGGTCATTTTCTCGGACAATATCAAGTCCAATACCTTTACAATCGTTTTACCTTTTTTTATTGCTTTCGTATATATACGAGCATTCGCAGGACCTAGTGATGCGTGGTTGCTGTACCTCATAGACATTAGCAATGTCAAGTCAAGACAAATCTCTGCTGCCGCTGAGTTAATCTCCATTGTTAAGCCCTCGCTTTATATAGGACTTTTTATAACACTTGAGAAACACTGTGTAGGGAACTTAATTCTAGAGCCGAGTGGTTTGTGGCAAAAAAGAATCTCCAGAAACACATTGTGGATAAACGTAGCCGTTCTAGTTAGTATGGATGAACTCTGCTCTGGTGGCGGGAGGTGCGATCGTGCTAATGATATAAGTAGAAATTGAGGTAAAAAACATTTGAGCCTATTACTAATTGGTGTTGGCATTACTTCATAGTAATTGCATTACCAGAGCCCGTGGACAGCTACAGCGGGTAACTCTCACTTGACCTCGAACAATTTTTGCATTTGACACGTTCATTCTTACTCTCTTCATATTACTCACAAAATATAATTTCAACAATCATAATTATTACAATTTCTTAATTGAAATTAAAATACTCATCTTAAACATAATAGAATAATATTAGCAGTTGTGTTTGAGCTTCAATTTTATGTGATGATTATTGATGATATAATACAATATAAAAGTAATACACCCATCATCCAATTTTGTTTACAACAAACAATTATTTTGTACTTGTATTGTAACAACGAGAAAGTAAATTATCTAAATTTACCTCCAATTAATCTTAATATCTCTCAAAGCTTTATTACTGAAATAATTAAAAAAACACGATTGAATATTAAAATAAATAAAAATTATCAAGATAACAACAATTTCGGTTTCATTACATATTTCCCAATTTATTATTTACGATATTTCGAAACATTCCCAACAAAAAATTATCGATGAATTAAACCACAACAATAGTTTTAATAAAGTCTACGACTCCCAAACACCGGAGGAAATGCTAAAAGATATGAAATATATTTCTTAATTTTATATTATATGATTGGTTCTTCGCAAATGTAATGTAAAGAATACAGTTTTTTTTTTCTTTCAAATATTAATATGTACTTTTTAGTCATCCATTTTTTTTTTCACGACCAATCGGTTTTTTCCATACTGGTACAATTTATTTCTGTTGAATTGTCGGTGACGGTGTCATGAAATTTCAAACTCTTAACATGTGAAAGATTCAAAATTGGTTCTCGATTAACCTTCTTTTCCGAAAGTAAAATTTACAAATGTATTTCGATATATTTTTTTTAGTATATTTACATTTCTTTATCGTAACAATGATGATAATACATAATACGCATGCGACTATTACTTTAAATTCGTTATAAACCACGAAAAAACGCCCTAACGTTCTGTAATAAAATAAACATACCTAACTTTATTATTTTTTTAGATTACAACTAGCATATTATAAAATAATATAATCATATAATACTACGCAGACTTGATGATAATAGCTAGAATATAATATAAATTGACGAAATCAAATTATCAAATGTTACTTATACATAAGAATGAATTCGTTCATATACTCTGAACATAATACGTGAAAATATATTTGTTTATCATGCTATATACATTATTAGTAATAAACTAATATTTGACACTTTTACGTGAACATATTGTGACACAAAATACGGTATAAATGGAAATTCTGCATTTAAAATACGCAGTATATAAAACACAGCAACATATTATAGGTTCTTTCCCTAATCAATCAAGGATGTATTAAGGGCCTGCTTATTAAAGCATATTTAAAAAAGTTCGCCACTCGAAACAAATTCCCTTTGCATTAGTCAATGTCAATAAGTATTTTATAACATACATTACTTGTTTTGTTAAGGCGTAGGTATTGCGAGCCCACACGAAGCCGCCATGCCTTCTGGTTTCAAGGTATGTCATTTCTTGTGATAGGTGACGTCATTCGCGTTCTAATTTACACATATCTAGTGCAATAAAGATATGAAGAAATATTCTACTATAAGAAGCTATAGGTTAATGTAGTTTAAGTGTCAGTTGTATGCTGTAACGACAGAAATAGGGAGGTTGGTGATACTAACGATACAATCTCACAATATCTAACTATCAATAAGTTAAAAGAAAAAAAATGTTTTTTCTTTGTTTTATTTTTATTGCACTATATTAATTCTTCGTCGAGGAAGTCATTCACGAACACGCATAGGTACATGTTTTTTTTTTAAATATTGGTAATTGTGTCTCGGATTTTCACCGGTCATCGTTCTCGTCGAACCCGTCGCTTGCGACGAAGGGCTCGGCGAGTAAACTAGCCCACAGACACAGCCCACTGAGTTTCTCGCCGGATCTTCTCAGTGGGTCGCGTTTCCGATCCGGTGGTAGATTCTGCGAAGCACGGCTTTTACTAGGGTTCTTGTTAGCAACAACGTCAAGTTTGGCATAGCCTCTCTAGGCTTACGTAGGAAAAAAAATCGGATTTAATCACTGGCGCAACCGCATCGCTCGATAAGAATACACCGCTGGTCTTAACCACGGACTTATTTATCTATTGTGGTCTTAACCATGACGATATGACGTCATCAAATAAAAAGTGCCCTTCTTTAAATTTGATGGCAATGCAAAACAGAAAATGCTTATTCTTAGTAATAGTTTGTTTCTGTAAAGATTTGGATATACGAACTTCTCAATCGTTGAACTGTAATAAACCTTTCTGAACACATGGTATCTACTATCTCCTTGTACAAAAATATATATATATTTTTTGAAAGTTAAAAATCCATTCATTACTATGTTCTAAACGTTTTAAAGATGATTTTGGGATGGTTGTTTAATGAAAATAATATGCACAATGAGGCTTGAGACCTTGAGACGGCGCGAAAGAGATAACAAAATGTTTTTATACGCACCGACTTTTCCATTAATCTCTAAAATGTTTTTTGCTCAGTATTTTCATAACCAATTTCGATGCTGTATTCAGAAATTTAAGGTTATTTAACGGACCGTTGATATCAGTCATTATTATTTAAAAAAAACTTTTTTTTATTGCTTAGATGGGTGGACGAGCTCACAGCCCACCTAGTGTTAAGTGGTTACTGGAGCCCATAGACATCTACAACGTAAATGCGCTACCCACCTTGAGATATAAGTTCTAAGGTCTCAGTATAGTCACAACGGCTACCCCACCCTTCGAACCGAAACGCATTACTGCTTCACGGCGGAAATAGGCGGGGTGGTGGTACCTACCCGTGCGGACTCCCAAGAGGTCCTACCACCAGTGATTACGCAAATCTCTATTATTTAAAATATATCTATTATTTGTATTCCTTTTACCCGTTTTGAGTGTCACAAAATGTGTAACGTAATTTACGCACTCATTACGTACATACGTAAATACAAACTCACTTATAAATGTTAAATACTTTTCTCGTTTATATTACAGAATATTTACAATATTATAATCGTCGCATCCGCTAAATAAATACATTACTTAAGGTTGATTTAGCACATTAAAAATACATAATATCAAATCATTTCACAAATATCGATTTAATCAATCGTTTAATAATTGAATAATAGATCACAACTAGCTCACTCACACGAATGCGATTGTGATATACAATAAATTGAAACACGCAACAACACATACATTTTATTCGATTTCAGCTCACACCAGTTATGTTATCCATACATTTTCTTTTATGCCTCACGATAATTGAATTTATCAATGTAGTAGGTAGTAGTACTTTAAAATTTGTTTCCGAACTACATACAGTACTTGTACTCTCTAACGATGTAATAATCATGCAGCTAAAGTCAATCACGCACGTATAAAATTCGTGAAAGACCCCCTGATGTATTGTATAAAATATTTGCATAGGTTTTTACTAGTGAGAGGATTTAAAATGTCACAAATGGTGACCAAAACGAGCTTAAAAAGTGCCACTAATAACGTTATTGCAAAAATACGAAACGAGGGTAGGTTGAAATAAATAAAAAAAACGGGAATTTTAAATTTATGAATGTTTTTCGACACCACATATTGCGGTAACGACTCCAAAAGCATTGACTTTTTAACAAAGACGCGATGTGACGTACGTTTTGTGATAGTTTTATTTTACTTTGATGTCACGTCGCTTATTTGTCATTATTCTCCGTGATAATTAGCAGCCGTGGTACAAAACACGCACAGTGAGCACCTGAGCTTAGAGCATTTTTTTCACGAGCGACTATCACACGTGATTTGACAAACGCACAATATTTTATTGGGATAATGACTCGTCACTCGTTGAAAAACGTTTTAAGCTAGGCGCATATTGCACGTCCGTGACGTTTGGCTAAGTTATCAACGCATTTTGGAGAGTAATCTGGGTAGTTATACTATTTTTATGTACTAAACAAAGGAATTTGGAATTCGAAAGATCGCATAGTCTGTTCTGACATGAGAGTAATAAAGATAATATATAATATATATGCATATCTAAACATGGACAAGCGCGGACGTACAATATACACCCGTGTTAAGGTGCTCTGGATCAGTGAAGTCTTTCAGAGATGACCGCGGAGAACGACGTCTGTTTGCCCACGAGTAATGTCAGTGCGAAAATTGATATTTCAGTTTACATATTTCGTGGGATGTGTGTATGTGTGCGCGAGGCGTGGACGCAGCGCAGTGCGGGGCGGGGCAGGGCGCGGCGGCGGGGCGGGGGGGCGGCGGCGGCAGGGGCGCCCGGGCCGACCGCCGTCATACCCCGTCCATCTGACGCACGCGCACATCCTGCGACGCGCACATGTCCGGCGCGAACGGGAGACACGTGAAGTAAGCGCACGCCGCGCATTCGTACGCCGGCGCTGCGTAGAACAAAGCCACCAAAGCGCACAGCATAGCCGCCGCCGATATAAGACACACCCACACCAACACTATTTTCCTTCTCCGCTCGTACGGACCGAATATTATGAACGGTAATAAGGCGTACGCTAGCAGGAATCCGAACACGAAACCGAAAACGTGAGCGAAATTGTCTATCCATGGCAGAAGTCCTAATAGAAACAACGCAAACGCGAGTCCCATTAATTTGAGCAGAGCTCGCCTGGGATGTTTGAGTATTGGCCAAGCTCCGATAACTTCTACTATTAAACATGCCAACAGCCCGAAATGGGACCCAGCAGGCCCCACCTGCAATGAAAAACAAAACTTAATTAGTTTTAATTCAATCAGTTTATTGTTGTCTAATTTATCAGAACTATATTAATACTACGTACATTACGGATTTCAGTTAAATTTATGTGAGATGCGCTATGTATGCGCTGTCTAATGAGAAGATAAAGAAAACGCATAGGACTAAGAAGCGAAGATTTAACAATTGAGCCCAAAACAGTTTTTTGTAGGGAGAGAATGGATAACAGGCACATACTTTAATGTTCTACTAACAATGAATTTTTTAAATGATATTTATGTAATTTTTGGTGAATTAAAAAAAAATTCAATAATCTCTTCAGGAGCACTATCGAAGTTAAATATTTTATGCAGCTTTCAAATTTACGATAAACCTAATGCAAATTGAAGAATTCTCGCAAATCGCGATTAGATGGCGCTTTAACGGTTTAATCCCTACCTCTGCTCTATACGGTTCAAATATCGCTGAGGCCATGTTCCCAGCAACGCCACTGCCCAAATATATCACAGCCATCCGAACAGGGCCAGCCATTTTCTCCATGTCCCTCATGAAGAGCCACTGCAACGCCAGCGTCGCAGCCAAATGTAAGAGACCAGCGTGTACGAATAAAGACGTCCACGCTCTATACAGTTGATCTGGACGTCTCCTTCTCATGAACGGTAACATTCCACAAACATCGTCGAGGCACGATACCTGAAATATTTACAATTTTATGCATTAAGCAGAGTTTTGAAGATACAATGCTGATAAATCTAATCGGCTGTCTATAGGGGCATATGATTTAGCCACTCGGGTCACCTATTTTGGCTGCCATTGCATTACTATAGCACCAGGATCCTCTCCTCAAGAACCCTTAATTTTACTAGTAGTAGGGTGTAGAATCAGCCCGCATCAGTTGACTCCACCATCTTCTGTCCCAAATTATTCATGTGTTCCGGTAATAGGGGTAGAAGATTCGTACGCTACAATACTATTGAGATGTTTTCACGGCAACACTAGTTTTCCAACCAATTAGCCTCGTATTAGTCATCATCTCTTGCGCCGAATAAAGCCTTAAAAGTATGTTTTACGAATAACGAAAATTAACCATTAATTAACCATTGCGCGATTTTTTGTGTAGCGTGATAGATGTTAGTTACTATTAACGGGGATTTTCTTGCCTCACTATTGTATTTGTAGCCTACTAAGTAAAGTATTTGGATATACTCTTATCGAATACAAAATCTAATGGCAGGTACCGGTTTGTTCTAAATAAATACGTACCAAACACGTCTTGATGACCGGCTTCCACAATGAATGAATGACATCGTAGAGTAAAAGTCAAACCTGTTTTTAATCGATTTGCTTAGTTATTGGTATCAAACCGTGTCGTTGGGTATCACTGCCTTCCCTGTTTTAACCGTGAAGCAATAATGTGATACAACTTGAAATGGAATAATAGTAACAGCTATTATTACAAGTGAGACTTCGACCTAAAGTATTAATATATTAACGGTATTCCCACTATAACTCTGGGAAGTAGCCACTTTTCCATATCAGCTATGAACTCGTCTATCTATCTCTAGAAATAATGTAAACAAGTAATTATTACTTGCTATTTAATGATAAATAATTATTAAACTCACATGTAACTGTCTGAACACAGAAGGAACTATTGCAGCATATTGTGTAATAAATCCAATAAATCTAGAAATAGCTAACACATACGAAAAGTATTTCTCACAAACCCTTAGGATACAAATTTGAGAAACGCTTTTATAAGATACCTAACAAAGAGTTATCTATAGTAAAAAATAAACCTGCGAGCCCAGTAAGGTCTCTTTGCCTTACAAACCCTTAGGATACAAATTTGAGAAACGCTTTTATAAGATACCTAACAAAGAGTTATCTATGGTAAAAAATAAACCTGCGAGCCCAGTAAGGTCTCTTTGCCTTACAAATCCTAAGGATAAAAATTTCAGAAATGCTTTTATAAGATACCTAACAAAGAGTTATCGATGGTAAAAAACTAACCTGTGAGCAAAGTGAGGCCTCTTCGTCTTACAAATCCTTAGGATACAAATTTGAGAAACGCTTTTATAAGTAAGATACCTAACAAAGAGCTATCGATGATAAAAAACAAACCTGCGAGCAAAGTGAGGCCTCTTCGTGAAAATATCCCTTGACAAAGTCGCAATGCTCCCTGGTCGTGATCACGCATTGTCCGTGCACTCCTATACAACACGGATGACCTATGACCTCGCAAGCCATGTGCTCCGCCGCGTGTCCGGCCCGTCCAGCTGCCGCCGATCCATCCAGCACCGACTTGCGACAAATCGGCCATTTCGTGATGTCATCTGGCCATTCGTGAGGTGCTATCGACCGAGGGGCCTCGCAAAATCTGAAAACATTAAAACATTGTAAGAATTAATGGTAATTACTGGTGGTAGGATCTCTTGTGAGTCCGCACGGGTAGGTGGCACCACCCCGCCTATTTCTGCCGTGAAGCAGTAATGCGTTTGGGTTTGAAGGGCGGGGCAGCCGTTGTAATTATACTGAGACCTTAGAACTTATATCTCAAGGTGGGTGGCGCATTTACGTTGTAGATCTCTATGGGCTCCGGTAACCACTTAACAACAGGTGAGCTGTGAGCTCGTCCACCCACCTAAGCAATAAGAAATAAAAAAATCGAATGAATTTACTTACTTTGGATCTAAACCACAAACGGACCCTGATATCCGTCCCCCGGGTCCCGATTCTCCCGAAGACCATTTTTTCCATGTAGATATTGTATTCTGAAATGAAATTTAATTACGTTAAAACGTGTCAGATTCGAAATGAATAAGCCGCGTTACAAATTAATTCCTTACCTTTGGTATTAATCCTCTTATCTGGTTATTAGCATGTATAAAATATAAATTATTAATTCAGAACTTAATCATGAAATAAGCGTACGTAAGTAATATTATATTTTGAATAAGCGCGAACCCTGAACAATATTTCAGTAAATACAAACTAAAATATTGAATTTTAAAACATAAGTTATTATCTTTTTAACAATAGCAGTAATCATGTTTTATTTTTATTGTGATTAAATAGTTGCTATAAAATAAAGCTATATTAGTTTTCCCGTTATTTCAGCTTCTTGCGTCTGATAGCGGACATAAGTGGAAATCACCTTAATTAGAATAAAATATATTTTTTTGTCTTTGAAATTGTTATTTGGTGATGATCATTTTAGTTGGACTTATATTAATATAAATGTTAAGGTATCTTTGAACTAACCATGAACTCCAAAAAAAGGTTTTACTGTTAACTTTGTTTCCGATGCAGATTTTTTTTTATTTCGATTGTATTTTTTATGAATTAATCACTTTAACTTGGCAAACACGACCACGACCTTTTCAAAAAAGAAAATGGGACGATTTCAGTTATCACCTACTATTTCATTTTTTTCTAAATCAAGCAAGTTATAACTAACCAAAATTGTCCGTACGCTTATAGATACTATACTTTGCAACTTTGAAATCTTACCGAACAGTCAGCCTTTGATGATTGGACACAGCCTGAATCATCGTTACGTATGCAACACGCAGTGTCCCGTTCTCTTCTCGCCGATGCTGCTATGGCCCTTGCTATCCTTGCATCTCGCCTCATGCACGGAGCGAACTTCGCCCCCAAGTGTATCAAGTCCGCTGCCCTTGGCCCCAACCAAAATGAAGCTGGCTCTTCCCATTCAACCTGGAATTTATTGTTGTGGGTTATTTATGATGCTATAGGTGACCGCATGTTGGAAGACGGAGCTTACAGAGTTTACAGCAAAGTTGGAAGGATGACTTGTCGATTACAGGCAGCATAGAATCGGTCGTTATAGTAAGCTATGGGAAACACCTATATCTATTAGTGGACGTCTGTACACTGATGATGATATTATCGATTTAAATAAAACTAAATTTTGCCAATGGTTTTGCCATAATTGCGTATAATTAATTGATCTATTATGCAAAAAAATCCGCTACCAAGCGGTTTTTTTTTGCATAATAGACCAATTATACGCTCCACCACCAGATACAACCAAGGAACGCGCCGTCATAAACTTATAGTTTTATATTTAACTAGGTCAGACTTCGTAGTGCTTCAATCGATAAATAAAAGACCTAAACTTTTGTATAAAATAAACTTAAAATAAACAAAAGGAATCCGTCCGACGGGGACACGTCAAAGGGAAAACAAAATTGTTACTTTTATTTAATTCCGAGCATTTTCATATTTATCTACCTTTTAAACCTCCTCTGGACTTTTACCAATAATTCAAGACCCAAATTAGCCAAATCGGTCCAGCCGTTCTCGAGTTTTAGCGAGACTAACGAACAGCAATTCATTTTTATATATACAGATATAGATTATAATCATATCGAAACTGGAAAAAAGAAGACTGTAAACTACCCAGTAGTTTATCGTGATGTACGCAATGGCATACAGCACGAAAGCTGAAAGCAATTTTAATAGTACATTATAGACATATAAATCTAACGCAAAAAGGACAATACCAACATTTCAGACAACCACAAGATTTAACATTAAAATAGATACGCATCCAAACACAAGACTTAGTCATTTATCAGCTCGAAACACGGAGTAAATACCCTTCTAAAAGTCAATAGAAGTCGTAAAAGAGCGTTGACCTCAAAATAACATGAGTAGGCGAACCTTTTGCGGTCATTCGTTTCTAAAAGATGGGACATTACGAAAGACTCCGCTAAGCACCAAAAACAAGACAAAGGAACGACCCACAAAGCCTATGTGACCTACATCTCGGTCCGGTAATACTCTTATTTTGTGCAGAGATTCTAGCACACTATTGCAATTTCATGTTTCGCAATTACCAGTCTACGTCATCATTTTCTATTTATTATATGCTGTAACATTGTATTGGGTAGGTTAGAATGTGCTTCTATGGTTTTCATTATTTTATTATCTAGCAATCTATATCTTAGTTATTGCCTAATTTACATTCTTTTTAAAATAACAAAGTATCATTTTTATTAATTAAACAAAAAAACTATACTTTAATTTGTTTTTCAGCTAAGAGATAGGAAAGTAACTGTGGTTTTCTATCAAGTTATACATTTACATAAATCTCTGAAGAGGTGTAAACTCGAGTCCCGAGCGCTTACCCAGACATTAAATCTGGACAAACGTGTTTCGTCTGAAAGCTTTGCCACATCAAAGAACGTACGCGAAGTGATCTTCTCTAAAGAAGACGGCAATACTATTATAAAAATTAAATTAGAGAACTAAGATACAAATATAAAAACACGAGAAGATATTTTATGTATTATACCTGAAATGAACGTCTCGAGAAGTGAGGTAAATGTCTCTATTTTTGTTTCAGAGCCTTGTAGACTATTCTAACCGTTGAGTCCAAACGCGTTGGTGTTCAGCAAAAGAAAATAGGCGCGATAGCGGTATCTACTATACAGGCATCCAATACCAATACAATATAACCATTGCGCAAAATTTGTTGATTTTATTTTATCTTGTTATTCCTTCATAATGGAAGACCTTCGTAAATACATACATATGTATAATATTTTCCAAAAAAATATTGGCACCTACCCAGAATTCAAACCGCCACATAATCGGATTGATACGAGTTATGTCTGTGCCTTTAGTCTACAGATGATTTATTTCATTTCCCTCTGGCATTAATAATATAATAATATTTTTTAAGAAGTAATCGAAATAAACTACATTTGTAAGTACCCATACCAGTACTCTCTATTATTAAGAATCTTAAAACTCAAAGCTTACTATTATACATTACTGGTTTTACTGGTGGTAGGACCTCTTGTGAGTCCGCACGGGTAGGTACCACCAACCTGCCTATTTCTGCCATGAAGCAGTAATGCGTTTCGGTTTGAAGGGTAAGGCAGCCGTTGTAACTATACTTGAGACCTTAGAACTTAAATCTCAAGGTGGGTGGCGCATTTACGTTGTAGATGTCTATGGGCTCCAGTAACTACCTAACACCAGGTGGGCTGTGAGCTCGTCCACCCATTTAAACAATAAATAAATAAAAAAAACATTATTAAAGGTTTGAACAAATTTTCTGTCTAGTATGTAAAATAAAAATTTGTGTTAAACCCAAACCATTCTTATTTATTGATCTGAACTCACTGAACAAACTTTGAAATGATTTTTCCAAGTCGTAAACGCCGAGCAGCGGGTTGAAGGTATAGCTAAAGATGTTTTTATTCACCGACGAATACTTAGTGAAGCGTAACAAAAGTATGCTCAATTTATTGCAAATGTTTTTGAAACCAAATCCTTAGAGTGAAGTTAGTGTATATCCCAGAAACTAAACGAATAACGGAAAAGAAATATTCAATTAAGTAGGTACACCAAGCTGAATTGTTAAAATTGCTAAGGCCATTAACTATACTGTGAATTGCTAACTGAAACCAATTGGGAACTTAGAGAATATATACTTTAGATCGCTAATTTGGTAGTAGATATTTAACAGATTTTATATACAGAATAAGTGACATGAATAGAAAAAGTCGTAGAAGCAAACGACTCCGTAAGGTATGCAAAGTATTAATTACAATTTTATCGCTAAGCTAGCTGACCCGACAGACTTCGTAGTGCCTCAATCGATAAATAAAAGACCTAAGCTTTTTTATAAAATAAACTTAAAACAAACAAAAGGAATCCGTCTGACGGGGGACACATCAAAGGAAAAACAAAATTGTTATTCTTATTTAATTCCGAGCATTTTCGTATTTATCTACCCTTTAAACCTTCTCTGGACTTCCACTAATAATTCAAGACCAAAATTAGCCAAATCGGTTGAGCCGTTCTCGAGTTTTAGCGAGACTAACGAACAGCAATTCATTTTTATATATAGAGATAAAATAATCTCACTCACCTGCTGTAAACTCAAACTCTTGACCAACACCTGTCCAGAGTGCGTGTGCCTTCCGAAGCCGACTGGCCCGAAACCATAACACAGCAATGACAGCAACAAGACCAGGGTCTGTACTGTGCTCACCCACCACGTGAAGTAAGGCCGGTAGTCGGTTAATTCGTCTAATTGTCGAGCCACTTCTTCATGATGCGTCATTGATTTGCGAAGGGATCGTCTGAAATGTGTTAGATCTTTTTTTTTATTCTGCCAAAATCGTCTTTACCTTCTGACCTTAGATGAACTCCCGAAAAATGTGTAGTCTTCGTTTAATCATGACTCAGTGTTAATTTTGAAACTAAATGTGAAATCTGTCTAAAGAAGTCTACAAAATATAACGTTTTAAACTTAGCTATTTGGCTTGATAATCAAAATTTTCAATTACTATAATCAGCTATTTTATGGTTATGAGAGCATATCGTGTAGAACGTTGATTCAGTAGCAGATTTTACATAACACAAAAGGGAATCATCGTAAATGTTCTCAATGACCCTTCTGTAAATACTATAATCCATTGTTTTAGCGTTTCAAAATATAAAGATAATTCAAAATAAGTTTTAGCGTTAAGTTGCTTTTTTGATTTCGGATTTAACTTTTAATAAAACCGAGGTAGCGTGAAATTTATATTCAAACAATGGACATCGAATCGGTAACAAAATCAGTAATAAAAAAAAACAATATTAGTTCTGAGGGTTTTATCTCTAACCGGTATATCTTTTAACTTTAAATTTCCTGTTGAAATTATATTGATCGTGATTATTTTATAGCCGATTTTAACACATTCAGTATATTTTTAATTTTCTGAAAATTTAAGATACAGAAAAGAGAAAGTTTCTTGCGGAACATTCTCAGAGGTAAAATATATCTTGGTAAAATACTTTTGACTTAGTTCGAGCATCACTCCTTATATTTGAAAATAGCAAAAACGCTAAATAAATATACTAAACAATAATATACTTTTTTTGTTTATAATAAATCCATTAACAAGCGTAACATGTTTCGAAATTTATTTCAATAAAACCGGGAGAATTTTTCACATCCCAAACTAAATATTCAAAAAACAACAAGAATGCTCGTTTTGTTGTTATGATCTATTGAATGTTAATATATTTTAAAAATACCAATACACTCAGTTCTTGTAGAAACCACTATTTATTAATATAATTGAACACCGAATTCCAAACAAAGCATTAATGAAACTGAACGCCCACAAAGGCATGAATGTACTGAGGGAAATCGGTAAATAGCCCGTCGCATCATAAATAACACCCCTCGTCATATCCACGGGGTATTAATTCAAAAACCCATTACGGCAAGTTTAAAATGGAAGTTCTCGTAAACAAGATATATAGGGGACGCAGGTGAAGTACAGAATCAAGCTGGTCCCGTTATTTTGCGGCGCTATCTTTAATCCTACCTCTGTGGTAAGTGAGACTCTATTATATTCTGGTAGCGTTAATGAAAAAAGTTGGTATTTCTTCACCCTTACTTAGAGCTACATCTTGACAATGAATTGTTAAATTAAAAAGGGTTTTTAATACTTTATGAATAAATCAGTCTTACTCAGAGTATTTTGTTCCGAAACATTTAAAAATTTATATTTTTAAAAAGCTCTTAGAATTGTATCGATTTTTATTTGCATTCGAATTTAGATACATATTGCAAAATAGTTGACTATTTTGTGTGTAATTGTATATAAGCGAAACTAAGCTATAATAAGCTATGCTAAATAATATGTAAAATAATGACACTGTGTATTAAATTTCCTGGTGGTAGCGCGTATTCTGAGTATTCAAGGGTAAGTAGGTACCTACATCTTGCCTATTTATACCTCGAAGCGTTCATACGCCTCAGTTCAAAGGATAAGACAAATGCATCTCAACTGTACTGCATAATAGTTGGCATAAGACATGAATAAAACAATCATGAATATGCAAGTTCTATCGAGGAGGGCACTCAAAGAATTCCTGTTCAGCGGGCTATCCAACAATTACGCGACGGGTCGATATTGTCACAAAGCCGTGTCGTCGACCGATGGTCATCGTCTAGCATTGTTCGCATACATCTGTTACCATTCTCATGTAGACGTAGGGTAAGCGCTAGCAAAATGACAAGTAATTTATCATAACATTTCTCCTTTGAACAAGATCAACGAACTCGGATAACTGGGAGAACAGGCACTAAATATTTATATGTTAGTACTGAACGACGTTATTGCTCTTTTTAAAGTGTTTTTAAGCTATTACATAGCTTTTATCGCGGGCTTTGATCGCGGCGACCGAATCAAGAAATTCCGTAACGAAAATAAAACTTAACAGCCCCCACTCCGCCTACCATTTAGCTCGCGTTCAACACATCCACACGCTGCGCTTGTGTAGTGTTTGTGAATAAGCGCGCGGCGTGACGTCGCACTGCANGACGTTATTGCTCTTTTTAAAGTGTTTTTAAGCTATTACATAGCTTTTATCGCGGGCTTTGATCGCGGCGACCGAATCAAGAAATTCCGTAACGAAAATAAAACTTAACAGCCCCCACTCCGCCTACCATTTAGCTCGCGTTCAACACATCCACACGCTGCGCTTGTGTAGTGTTTGTGAATAAGCGCGCGGCGTGACGTCGCACTGCAAGCGCATCATGAAAAGTCTGCCCATCTCTCTCTCGTGCGGTCTAGCTTATGAGTGCGAAGGGGACAGTTAATGTGTTGCTTTTGTTGATGTTTATAAATATAGCGTGATCTTATTTTATTATTGTAAAAATACTATGCAATAGTCGGAGTAGAGCGGAGTCTGGGCTTCGACTCTCTTAAAGGGTTATTTATTATTCGAGGTATAAACAGGTTCGTTTGCTCCTCATCTGGGTTTTTAATAACTATATAAGTATGTATGAATGTAGTTACATGTATATATATATATAAGTATGTATATCTCTGGCTCCCATAACGAACCTGAGAATTCTTTTTTGGAGCCAGGTGACCGTGTTTGACTCATTATCAGTTATTAAGCTATGTATAAGCTATGAAAGTCATTCGTGAACTCGTTTTAGGCACGTATTTGCTTACCTCAACATAATCACATCACACAATACGAATGCATCACGAAAATTACCGATAATGCCAAAAACGCATGATTTAACTAATTTTGATTAATTTGTCAAAAGTGAATCCATATTGCAGTGCACGGGAGGAATATTTTGAAATATTCAACACTCTCAAGCAATTGTATTACTGCTGTTTGTTTGCAAGAAGTCATTGCAGGCGACGAAATGAAAAGTTCAAGTTACCTACGGCTTCCGTAATACAAGTACACGGAATTGTTCATTGTAAATTTAATTTGGCACCCAATTAGGCAATATAATTGGCACGACGTGAATGAAGTCGTTTCGTTCGGTAATTAGCTACGCAAAATGAAAGGTTTCGGTATTATGATTTAAATGGCTCGGCATTATGTTACAGTTTTGAGTGTCGGTGTTAAATCGTTTTATTGAGAGCGACTTTGTAAATGTGTTTTCTGAACTCAACAAATGTAGGACCGATGGTGTTTTTATTATTACATATTTTTTTATTGCGTAGACGAAGGAACGAATTTAAAGCCCACCTGGCGTAGTCACAGTGTAGTGGCTATTGAAGCTCATAGATTTTCACGACGTGAAAACCCAGGTAACCTTCAGATATGAGATCGAAATATCCATTGCATTAACAGCTGTCTCGACCTTCAAACTGAAGCTTAATATTGGTACGCGGCAGAAATAATGCATGAATGCAAGATTACAACATGCCCTACTTACTACGAATAAACGGATTAAATTCTAAAATTACAATTTTTTTTTATTATTTTTTTTTACATGGGTGGATGAGCTCACAGCCCACCTGGTGTTAAGTGGTTACTGGAGCCCATAAACATCCACAATGTAAATGCGCCACCCACCTCAATATATAAGTTCTAAGGTCTCAGTATAGTTACAACGGCTGCCCCACCCTTCAAACCGAAACGCATTACTGCTTCATGGCAGAAAATAGGCAGGGTGGTGGTACCCACCCGCGCGGACTCACAAGAGGTCCTACCACCAGTAAAAATTTGTTCGTACATAATAACGAAAATATGTATAACAAGTAATGAAATTCACTAGGCAATCACTGCTTAAGTAATTTCTCCTATGACTATATTAATTTCTAAAGTTCGAACGTGTATACCAATATTTGCGATCAAAACGAGTTCGATGACCTGACTGAATCGACGTTTTAAACGTTAGTTCGAATTTAATATGCTTCTATATGAAACATTAGTAGGCGATAATTAAAGCTTTGATGTATTATTCTGATGAATTCATCGATTTTTAATTAAAAATCGATTGAAAAGTGTATGAAACAAAGAAAATTTGTGTACGATAGGCCAGTCGCTTGCGATGAAGGGCTCGGCAAGTAATTTAACCCATAGACAGAGCCCGCTGAGTTTCTCGCCGGATCTTCTTAGTGGGTCGCGTTTCCGATCCGGTGGTAGATTCTGCGAAGCACTGCTCTTACTAGGGCCAGTGTTAGCAACATCTCTGGTTTGAGCCCCGAGAGCTCACCTACACGCTAAGGTAACGCTGATATAGCCTCTCAAGGCTATCAGCATAGGTAAAATAAAAAAATAAAAAGTACGATAGGTACTCGCTTAGTCTAATCGCGATATCGACCGGTCCCCTTGTACTCCTTCGCTAACCTTAATATCACATTGAAAATTGTATATGACATTTGACGGTGCGCATAAAATATCTTTGAGTGCTTTACTACATTATTCGGAATTTATGAATCACGTAAAACCTTACAATAGTCTTAAAAATATTGCAATTATTTTCCTACCTAAAGGTTTTCAAACTTTCTTAAATTTTTAAGCCGTTTCATAATATTTTTGTGATTGGGTGAGGCCTACGTCCAGCAATTGAGGACTGTGGGCTGATGACGATGATAATATTTTTCGAAATTCTATATATATAGTTCATATTATTTACGCGAACGAAATATAATTTCACGCATTAATATAATTTTGTTTTTGCACTCGTTGCTTAACAAAATGTATCTCAAACAAAGTAACAAGTGCTTAAATTTATTATTTGTTACGAGCCATTCAATTACCCAGTTTCCCATAGCTACTTCAATAATAAAAAATACCAACTTTCATATTGAAACGGAGTGAAAATTGAATTAAAATACTCTTTAATGCACACACACAGAAGCTAAAACAAGTTATTAAATAACTAGTGACCCGCCCTCGCTTCGCTTCGGAAACTGTAATTTATTATTGATTTCTCCACTATTTAATGGAGGTTATTATACATATAAACCTTCCTCTTTAATCACTCTATCTATTAAAAAAAACCGCATCAAAATCCGTTGTGTAGTTTTAAAGATTTAAGCATACATAGGGACAGAGAAAGCGACTTTGTTTTAAACTATGTAGTGATACGTAAAAATACTTTTACGGTACAGATACCACGTTTTTTTTTTTTTTTGTCATAGTATTAGTCTTTGATGCTTATTTCTGAAGTCAAAGCCGTTTCAGTTTGATAGCTATTAGACAGTTGAAACTTAGACTGGCATTCACTTAGCATCAGGTAAGTAAGCTTAGGTGCCGACTTAGAACAATAAAAAAAAACATTCAACTAATAGTTGTTTAATGAAATTTTCAACATGATTCCTTAACACGTTGACTGATATGTAGGTCACCCGTGTCCTACTTGGCGCACTGAAGTAATTATGTCGATTTCTCTCTTCCATCTTCTTACTAAGGCGCCGGAATATCTAGTGGATTCTGGGAAAGGCGAATCCGAAGATACTGAGAGTGAATATATTTCTAAGAGACCGAAAATACTAAAACATACATTAACAAATAAGAGAAGGCAAGGCTTAGGCAATCCAGGCGCGTAGTAACAGAAATCGACATAATTATTTCAGTGCGCCACATAAGGTATTAGGTAGATTTCGTTATCAACGCTTCTAATCACGTCTCTACTCACGAGGAGATGTAAAATTGAAATTAATTATAAACAATTAGCTCCAAATCACCGAATCCACATTAAAGAGATTCGACTGTCGCCTGTACAACAAAATCCCACAAGATGTTCAGAACCTACATATACATAGGTTTTAGAAAACTATTAAAGAACATCTGTGCAATAAAGCTTACTGATCAATGATTATCTAGAAGATTGCACAAAGTGGGAATGAGTTGCTCGCTCCGGGCATTTCAATATTGTAATAATTGTTACGTTATAATACTCATTGTAAAAATTAATATTAAAAAATATATGTAATATATTATTAAAAAAAAAAGACATGTCCGCTGAGTTTCTTGCCAGTTCTCAGGACGGAGGCAAATTTTTGTGAATTGTCGGTAGTTCTTTTTGACGTTCAACAAGTACGTACTTTCATTTATGTTGAATATTTTTTTTTTTATTTAGATTTTGATTCGAGCAAATCGAATACAAAGACAGCGAATTTATTATTACGGATCAACTCACCGGAAAAATCTTCCAACGACGCCCATACCGTATTGTCTTCTATTCGAGTTGTCGGCCAAGGGCTCTAACATCGGCGTGTGTATTCGTGCTCCGCCAGCGCCCCACGACACACTTCTCTCCGGCCTTCGGTACTCAACTCCGCCAGAAGTTACCGGAGAACGCGCCCTGCGGATAGAATGGCTGAAGAAATAGTCTTTTACGCACATCTAACAACGATTACCAACTTTTTTTTTTATTGCTTAGATGAGTGGACGAGCTCATAGTCCACCTAGTGTTAACTGGTTACTGGAGCCCATAGACATCTACGATGTAAATTTGTCACCCACCTTGAGATATAAGTTGTAAGGTCTCGAGTATAGCAACAACGGTTGCCCCACCCTTCAAACCGAAACGCATTACTGCTTCACGGCATAAATAGGCGGGGCGGTGGTACCTACCCGTGCGGACTCACAAGAGGTCCTACCACTAGTAAAATAATAACATATCGAAGGGTGAAAGGCTTTAAGCGACATTTGGCTTAAAGCTCGACATTTATCTTTGTAATTAAAGGTGTTCGATGCTTTTAAATGAATTTCAATTAAGTTTTACTCCCTATCGAAGTTTTTTTGTTATGAAATGTTTTTCAAATTTTACACTTTAAATGGGTCTGGTGTAAAGTTGCAAAAATGTTGCTTAAACCAAATATCCTTGGACCTCTCAATATGCTCAATATACATATGATATAAGAGAAACCTTCAGAAGCATTCAATCTGATTTAGGGGGTTTGACAATCCGAAGCCCGCCACTCTCAACGAGTAACGAAACTATCTCCGTTCTTTACTAAAATCGTGCCATATTTGTTGTATATTACTCGTAAGTAAAAGAAAATGAATAAACCCCAATAGTACATAATTGAAAAATAGGGTCATAAACGTTTTTATTCTATTTATTGTGTTTACTATTGTGCAATTAAAAATATGAGATTCATACAAGACTGATTCATAAATCATAACTAAAATAGAACCGACTGTTGTTAAGGCGACCTCAATCGTAACCGTCTTCCTGATAAAAATCAATCACCAAAGTTTGGTAAGTTTTTTCAATACGCAATGAAAAACTAATTTCTGGAACTGCGGACGTAATATTGTAATCTAATGACTTTCAAATTAAGGTCACCTTCGAAGATCGTCATGTAAGAATATTATTTGTTTGATTTTTAATCATATGTTCGTTTTTTTGGATAAACATAGCTAATAAGCAACTGAATCGATTATTATTAAGCTTTTTATCTTTCCAAGCTTTTATAGTCCGATTCGAAGCTGTCACGATTTAACCGCATTTTCTCACTGTATATAATATGAGTATTAATTGAAGTTCATGCGTTTTAATGCGCAGATCTTAAAACAGCAATGCATGGTCGGCCCGGCAGTGAAACCAGAGTTGAACTGTCACCATTCACCGTTAAACGCTTTCTATTAAAGTCGCTGCTACGCTACCGTCTCTATGGTCGCTTGCTAGAGATGGTGCGTTAGGCACTACTCAATCATTTTCTCTCTCTCTCCTCCCACACGCTTAACTGCTGTATTCAATATCCGTCTTAAAATGACGCATAAAACACAAATCCACGAATTCGTGAGCACTTAAATAGCTTAAAAATCTTTTCATTAAAAAAAACAGGTATAGTAATCAAATTAACACCAATTGTAATTAACATAAAATGGGACAGACTCGTGATACACGTGTACTGCATTAAAAATATTGACAAACATTTTTATACAGAATAACATCACAAAAAATACGTTACTCATTTCTCATACTTACAAATATCGACTTCGAAGTAATATTTCTAAATAGAGAGCTCTTACGTGTTATTTCTTGGTCTATATTCAGGGAGCTATCAAAAATGTATGTTGCGTGATACTGAGATTAAATCTGCTATTCCACGGAACCCATGTCACAAAGATTTGGGTAACAGATATCTCAGTGAGATAACTTAACAAAGCGGACACGGTGATGTAGTGCTTTTATTTATTTCCTGTTTTGACATTTTAGTGAATTTAGTAGATAACGAACCGATGGTAGGGCTTTCTGGGCCCACTATTATAGGTTAAATCATCTGGTTTTTCACAGTTTGGGGTCGAAAATTCAGTTGAGATTTGCAGAGACTACCCCTAACAATTAACACCGGTTGGAATCGGCGGTCTAGTAACTGATTTAAAAAAAATGTGAGTCCTTTTAAAAAACTTTGAGTGTAATTGAAGGCCATAGGGAGAGTTGTATGCAATCAATGACAATGAAATAGTATCAAGAAAATCATAATTATTTATAACGACCCTAAAGGTTGCTATCACAAGAATCTATATTTGGAGTCGGGACCATCATGTTATTTTTCTTTCTGGTCGTTCCCTCAATGCTTAGGATCGTGACTGTATGTCAGTCTTCTCCACTCGGTCCGGTTCTGCGCCATATGTACCGCTAATGTTGTAATTGTTGCTTAAAAATTTAGAGGGGAAAAACAACCGTTCCTTAAACCAATCGATTTACAAATCATGTACAGTAATTTGTTATTTGTGGTTGAACTACAGATCATTTAAAGGCACCGGAATACTAATTATAATGCTTGAGCAAATATTTGTTTCCGCACTCATAACAAAAGACGGAATCTGTAGAGCTTTTGAATGTAGCTTGTCTTTTGTTAAAAGGATTCCTAGCTACCCTCGTTTTAGCTGATAAAATGAGAAACTTACGGCAACGTGTAGGTGGTAGGTATTCCATTGACAATGAGAAAACTATTCTACTACAATTTTAGTTACAATAAAGTTTTATCAAATACTAAAGGTTCGGTACATGAAATTTGAGTACGTCGTAAAGTTAGTGCGTTAGATGTAGTAAGTTTTATAGGATGATGAAGGGCGTCTGATACTAGATTTCAGTGCACAGTCTAGGCAATTTCTGAAGGTAGTGTGCGCATTTTCTTATATATTAGAAAATATGCATAAGCATTTTTTGTGCTATGTTGTTTGAGACATCAAGCCTATTTCTGCTGGGAAGAAATCACTCATTGCAATTTGAAATTAGAGACACCCTTTAGATAACACAATCGCGATTCCAATCTTACATCTCAAGGTCAAACTAAGCTATAAGTTTTGTCGATCCAATTACAGTAATAAAATAATATATATGTTCGGTGATATATCACCGAACACCATTGTCAGCATAATTCGCGTGACGCGTTATTTCCATAAAAACCGCGTCACCCGGGTGCATTCATAACATTAACGTTCAATTGATTTACTTTATATTTTAACAATAAACATTTTTAAGCAACACAATCTTTAAATAACAAGCTCACACTACTACTGAGCTGGCGCTATGACCCCGAAGTGGGTCTTGGCCTCCGACAATAAGCTTTGCCATTCATCCCGGCGCTGCGCAACACCTTGCCAATCCGACACTTGGAGCTCACGTAAATTTCCTTCCACAGCGTCAGACCAGCGGTACTTGGGCCTCCCTACGGGGCGGCGTCCCTCCGGTACAGCCGCGTACACCCGTTTCACAGCCCGATCCTGCTCCATACGTACTACATGCCCGAGCCATCCGAGCCTCCGTGCCTTCATCTCCCCCAGAATATTTGGCTCACCAAAAAACCTCTCCACATCCTTATTTTTCCGGACGTGCCAAGAAACTCACACCGCACCCTTTTTTTTTTTTAACGCTGGGGAATCCATTTACGGATACCCGGTCGAGGGGGTAACGGACCGGGTTATGTCGGACTCCGGCGCCTCCTGAGAGGAAGAAGGGGAGAAGAGAAGGGCGGAGGTCCTTCACCTCCCCCAATTTCTCACAGGAGACTACGCCTTGAAAAAGGCGCGCGAAGCACTTGCCCCGCAGAACGACTACCGACTAAACCCCATCGAGCCCCACCACACCGACTACACGAAACTTACGGTACCGTGATGTGCGCCGAAAGTCTCACCTTAGGCGGTACCCGTACTAATGTTAAGACGGGATTTCATCCCCGGGAAAATCCCGTAGAACCTCGTCTCGGGCGACACACCGCACCCTACAATATACGTACCTTTTGTTTCCTTCAATTGACTCAACGTCGTCAATGTGCTGAGTGAGAGGTGTCACCGAAGACTGCGGCGTGAAGAACGTATCTTCAACTTCGGTTTCTTCTTGCTGGGCGGCCCCGCTGTTACGAAACGAACGCGACCATTGAGCTGAGGTCGACTGCCGGGATCGACGTGTCACCGCCTGATTCAATTAAATAATTGGATTATATATTTAACAGCCTAATAGTAAAATTTATTTATTTATACAGAAAAAAATATAAATACTAGAACAATGAACCTAAAACTAAAAAAAGACGTATGGTGTCGTGGGACACCGGATAGAAACGAAGTTCCTTATTATAAAAATATAAATTTTAAGTTCTATTCGAGGTATAAAGGAAATAAAACTGGAAGTTTCGCAACAACCCACGGTCATTCGGTAACGTGCGAACTTATTGTGGTACACTTCATTCACGGTTGTTTGCAAAAGAGTTAGTGTATTGCGCAAACGAACGCTCTGAGATCGTAGTCAATGAATGATAAAAAAATATGCTCTTTTTTGTACGTTATTACAAAGTTAAGTCGTACACTGTGTGCATTACTAATAAAAATCTTACGTTACGGACATTTTTTCCCGTTTAGGGTACCCCTCCGTATCGTCCCATAAGGAACTTCGTTTCAAAAACCTTAAAAGATATTGATGATATATATGATTTTGTCCCATTCGGTGTTGAGACCCTTGGTCCGTGGGCTCCTAGCGCTATAAAGCTTTTTCAGGAAATAGCAAAAAGGTTAATCGACATCACAGGAGACCGAAGAGCTGGTTACCTCGGACAAAAAATTAGTCTAGCTACTCAAAGAGGGAACGCTACCAGTATCTTCGGAACCTTGCCTAAGGGGACTCCTTTTAATAATATATTTTATTTTTATTGCTTAGATGGGTGGACGAGCTCACAGCCCACCTAGTGTTAAGTGGTTACTGGAGCCCATAGACATCCACAACGTAAATGCGCCACCCACCTTAAGATACAAGTTCTAAGGTCTCATGTATAGTTACAACGGCTGTCCCACCCTTCAAACCGAAACGCATTACTGCTTCATGGCAGAAATAGGCGGGGTGGTGGTACCTATCCGTGCGGACTCACAAGAGGTTCTACCACCAGTAAATTATACATTTTATTTTTAAAATGAGCATACAATTTCGTGAGCCATCTGGAAGTTCACAAACACTATTGCGCCAACGATGAACTACCCTATACAGTACAGGATTTTAAAAAAGAGTCAAAAAACACTCAACAGTCAATGACCCCAAAGTATGATTTTCAAATGTGCCGCGGGTGACGCATATGATAAAAACATGATACTGTATTAAAAATACTAAATATCTTTAGTACTACCTAAAATTGAACAAACTGCCTAAAACTTCAAACTACTATTTTGAAACTCAAACTTCATAATAAACACTTAATACAAAATAGCGATCTTAAATCACAGATTTTTCTGAACTGTAATTAAAAAATGAAATCAATTTTGTGTTATATTAATGATTCGTATTTATGGTATGGTGGACTAATTTAAAATTTAATTTTATTTGATGAACGTATTTACGCAGAATTACACGCTATTTGCGCAACAAAAAAGCACTAAAATTCATTTCAAATTAATATTTTTACAGTATGTACACAATATAAAATTAAATTACTGGTGGTAGGACCTCTTATGAGTCCGCACGGGTAGGTACCACCACCCCGTCTATTTCTCCCGTGAAGCAGCAATACGTTTCGGCTTGAAGGGTGGGGCAGCCGTTGTAACTATACTTATATTACCTTAGAACTTATATCTCAAGGTGGGTGGCGCATTTACGTTGTAGATGTCTATGGGCTCCAGTAACCACTTAACACCAGGTGGGCTGTGAGCTCGTCCAACCATCTAAGCAATTAAAAAAAAAACAGAACAGTCGAGCGAATCTTTAAGGAAAAAATAATAATAATTACATAATGTGTTTAACAGAATAAATTATGAATAATATTAATGTATATGTAGGTATAGTTATATGTATGCTCCCTATAGACTCCGAAATCTATCTGGAGCGATTTCGAGGAAATTTTCAGGAAATCTCCAGATTAATCTCGATCACGTAATTCTACGAATCCGACCGGATCAAAGTCAAAACAAATATCGACCAGCAAAGTGGGCCGAGATTGACCAATTATAAGCAAATGATTTCTTGGTTGGCTTAAGCTGACATTAAACAAATCATGTTCAAACAATTTATTTAAGCAACATAAAGAAAAACATCACTAATTTCTAACACTGTGTTTCGTTAATTTATTTCGACGAAGCCTTTTTTGCTTCATCGAAAAAAAAGATGTGGGACGTCGTGGGACACCGGATAGAAACGAAGTTCCTTATTATAAAAATATTAATTTTAAGTTCTATTCGAGGTATAAAGAAAATAATTATTCGGGTATACATTTTTTATTATGATATTTTTATTGATAATAATAAAAATAAAAAACTTATTTTATTCACAATGATTTATAAAAAATCTACATATATAAAAATGAATTGCTGTTCGTTAGTCTCGCTAAAACTCGAGAACGGCTGGACCGATTTGGCTCATTTTGGTCTTGAATTATCTGTCGAACTCCAGAGAAGGTTTAAAAGGTAGATAAATATGAAATGCTCGGAATTAAATAAAAATAACAATTTTGTTTTTCCTTTGACGTGACCCCGTGGAACGGATTACTTTTGTTTGTTTTAAGTTATTTTATACAGAAGTTTAGGTCTTTTATTTATCGATTGAGGCACTACGAAGTCTGCCGGGTCAGCTAGTATATAACAAAAATGTAATTTTTTTGTACGTTATTACAAAGTTAAGTCGTACGTACACTGTGTGCATTACTAATAAAAGTCTTACGTTACGGACGTTTTTTACCGGTTAGGGTACCCCTCCGCATCGTCCCATAAGGAACTTCGTTCCAAAATGTAATTTCCTTTTAAATATTTATTTTAGAAATAAAATCGATGATTGCTTTAATAAAGAGAATATATTTTTATTTTACCGCAGCGGGCCGCTTTTCTTTTTTGGATATTGCTGGCAGAACCCGAAGCGCGTTCCTCTATTATTTACGACGCCATAACGGTCGACTCGATCCCGAAAGACATCACTTTTATAATTTATAGGAAGGAAATATCGTGGCCTAATTCATCCCGTTTTATTACATGAATTTGGGGTTAAGCGCGTCACATGAAGGTAGCTCATCAATCAAATAACGTGATTCGTTTTATCTAAGTCGGTTAAGCGCCCGAAAGCTAAATATTTCGTGTTCAATTTGCGAGTTTCAACGCTATTCAAGCGCTACTCGTCAAGTTAAAAAGAAAAAAAAAACGCGATAAAGTAAATTCATGTATAATTAAAGAAACTTTCAATTTGTTTACGACGATTTAAGTTTTTATGGTATTTTGAATTGAGCTTTACTTGTGTGTGTTTAATGTTGTGTCATAATAATATTTGCGTAGATAATATTATAAGACCGATCCGCACGTCAATTTTAAAATTTTACATGTCTACAATTAGAGAAAATAACAATAAAATAACAATTTTAATTATTGCTACATCATTTTATTTTTTTGATTATTTTCTTTTTTTGTGTCAATTTGCGTGCTATTCATCTGACATAAAGGAGACGGAAAATCGTGGGCCAAAAATGTAATAACTTGGAATGTAGTCTAAAAAATTTGTCATATTTTTTTATATAAGAATATAAAAAATCATCTAAATCCTCTCAGTCTATTATTACTTAACAAAGTAATATGATTATCGATTTCAAACCGATTAAAATCGATTGTATTTTTGATGACAGCTTTTACAGTAAGCTGACATGACGTTTGTTCATAGATTATACAATTATTTTTTGGCGCTTGTTGGTTTTTTCTGCTCTACTCGTTTTGTATCTTCGACGCATTTTGAGTGTGTATCTATCGGGCTGTTTTTATATTTTCAACGATCACTGCTTTATTACTACGGATTCCAACTCTGCCAGCCTTGTACGACAATTGCTTCTACACTGGACACCGAAGATCGCTCAGACGTTTGACTTGAAATTGTTGCATTGGATACTGTTGAAATTATGGATCGCTGTGTGAATTGTGGGATAGCAATTCCATATTCCATACCTGATATATATCATTGATATTCATTCATAATATGACATTTAAAAGATTATCTAATGGATATAATAAACATTTACTTATGCTTAAATAAGTTATTGTTCAGCTCTTTTAAAGAGATTGTAACATAACCTAACTTTTACTAAATTTTTATTAACTCTGCTCTCAGATTGAGGATACTTTTATAATTTTCAGCAAGGTACTGATAAATCTGAATCTATTAATTCATATTAGTTTCATCACGTTACATTCGGGCCAAGTACAAGCACTGAAAATGTCAATTCTAAAATATTGTTCTTAGGCCTTACTTGAACCGTAAGGACACATCGTAAAGTTACAGTAATAGTGCAGAGGAGGCTATACTATATAACACGGGCCAAATTTAATAGTTTCAAAATCTTTTTTTTTCCCTATGTTAGGAGTATCGAAACATACATACGACATAAGAACAAATTTCTACGCCTAGACACCTAATATATATCTTTAAATATCTTTAACAAAAACATCGGACTCCGACTAGAAATCTAATTCAAATCTTGTGGTACAGAAATTCACCAATACCATGCATATGAGGCGATAAAAATTCATTACTTTATTTAAAAAAATGTTAAATAAATCAATAATTGATAAAGAGCAATACAGGATTTGTCCCTTTGTTAAAATCCACGTAAAACAAACAACTTTTATTAATCTAATAAGCAAAGATAATCTATTAAATTAAAATCCTATATTTTTTGAATACGATATTAATATTTAGCTCAGAAGTCTATTTTCGAACAAGTCAAGCCACAATCCCATTACTTATAGAGCAAGTTGAGCGTGTACGTCACCGCAGTTTCTAAGCCACAGCTCAACTTATAAACTCCTTATATGATTTAAAATTGCATGACATAGCCGGCAAACTTTAAAATGCGTTGCGTTTTCATTGCTATACCATTTCCCTACTGGGACCTACAGTTCGTAAAGACTTTCAATTAATTTATTTCTTTCCTTATGACAAAAGGGGTAAACAATGCACATTTTTTATTGCTTAAGTTTGTGGACGAGCTCACAAGCCCACCTGGTTTTAAACGGTTACCGGAGCCCATAAACATCTACAACGTAAATGCCGCCATCCAACTTGAGATATAAGTTCAAAGGTCTCAGTATAGATAGAACGGTTGCCCCACGCTTTCAACCGAAACGCATTACTGTTTCACGGTAGAAATAAATATTATTAATAAACTATAAAAAACAGAACTCTCACATTTTACTCAATGTCATACTCCATGACGCTGAATAAAACTGAAGAAAAATCTTTTTGAAAAGCTAAAGAGTTTTTAATAATAAAGGTTTTTCTGTATGTATAAAAAAACCTTTTATCTAAAAAACTGTAATAAATATGCGTCGTTAACTTAAAAGCGAGTTAAATCCATTAGCAGAGACACCTAGGACGCTGTCCTTAGTATTTGAGCACCACATTAACCTAAAACTCAGAATTAGTGAGAAAATGTCAGAAAGTTTTAAATATAGCAGAGTGGTGTATTTATTACTCTCTGGGGGAACGCAGGCCTGCCCATTAGCACCACGTCAAATGGTTCAGGATTTCAAGGGGCGAGCGCTTTTAGCCTGGCTAAAACATGCAAACTCCGACGGATATTTACCAAACTTTTAAATGTTTAACAGGTAAAACTAGGTTAGTAGTTAACTATGCCACCTGTGGCCTTAGCAGAAACTCCGCCAGCGAAATATTGTTGCATCAGCTACTTTCTAGGAACAATGTGTCATTAGGGAGCTTCCTTTAGAGGAGTGGTACATTATATACAATGTATTGAAGAATAAGTTAAGCGAGAACTAGCATTATTATTTAAGTTACACAGGAAACTAATAAACCAAACTGTCTTCATTTATTTAATATCTAATATAGGAATTTTTCTTGTATTATTCGTGCCGGAAATAACAAGTGCTAAGACACAGAGTCCCGACTTCAATAGGGAATGGAACTCAGACCTATTGGTGAAGAAATCAGCTCTTACTAATCAGTAATTTATTTTTGTATTGAATATGATCAGAGTTTTCTCATTAAAAAGTTCAAGGAAGAATGCCATGATATATTCTAACAGTAGGAGTCAAAGTCTACAATTTCACCTCAGCAATATGTACCTCACTTATCAAATAATAAATCAGGACTACTTTTTTTGTTCCACTATTATAAGAAATAATAGCAATAGTAAAACAAAAGGGAAAGAGAATTTAAGCCGTAAGGTGTCAGTGATTATGGTCGTATTTCGACCACTTGGCGAATATTTGTATGTATTAGTACAGCTTTGTTCTACGTGTTTTCTTTACTATTAATTTGATGGTGGGTTGAGTAATCGGAAAGTGGGACAGCAGTCATACAGTAAAATGTCGTCGTTTCTTCGGCTGAGGAGTCATTTCTGTGTAATAGAAAAAATACTCTAACCTATTGTAGCCGTTAATTGTAAGAAATTTTATTTATTAGTTTTATTACCCTTATAGGCGGACGAGCATACGGCCCACCTGATATTGAGTAGTTACCGTCGCCCATGGACTTCAGCATGCAGAACCAAGCCTCTGCCTAACGTAAATTGTTATTTTAAGGTCCTAATGTTTTTTTTTTGTTACCTTAAGATATATTAATCTATGTGTAAGCTCCAATAGATACCGATAACAGTAATAAAGTATTTCTATTCGGCCAGCTTGGACTGACAAAGGCAGCTCTAAACGGTCTCGTCGACGAGTGCACAAGAAGGACCACGGTACACGAGGAATGGCGAACCAACCGAAATAATAATAAAGAAATAAATGTTGACTAAAAATCACGCCACGTTAACTGGTCCCGTGCTAAGTTCGTAAAGAGCTTGTATTACAGGTACCAGATAACGGAAATAAATGTATTATACACATACATAACATACATCCATAACCCTGGAAAATAAATTTTATATTTATCATTCAAATATCTTCCCTTGGCGGGATTCGAACCCGCGACCCCATTCTGTAGTGACCATGTCACTTACCACTACACCAGACGACCGTTAGATGTTCATGACCGTTAATGACTACGGCCCCTCTGCCAAGAGTGCATACGACTGAGAAGAAATCGGCCAGTATCGTTACGTAGTATGAAACAAAGTCGCTTTCTTTGTCCCTATATCCCTATGTATGCTTAAATCTTTAAAACTACGCAACGAATTTTGATGCGGTTCTTTTTTAATATATAGAGTGATTGAAGAGGAAGGTTTATATGTATAATAACATCCATTCAATAGTGGAGAAATCAATAATAAATTACAGTTTCCGAAGCGAAGCGAGGGCGGGACGCTAGTAACATTAGTTGCTTTTAGGCACCACAAGCACCGGTCACTATCCTGGTCGAACCCGTCGCTTGCGACGAAGGGCTCAACGAGCAAATTAACCCACCGACACAGCCCACTGAGTTTCTCACCGGATCTTCTCAGTGGGTCGCGTTTCCGATCCGGTGGTAGATTCTGCGAAGCACTGCTCTTGCTAGGGTCAGTGTTAGCAACACTCCGGTTTGAGCCCCGTGAGCTCACCTACACACGTTAGGGCGAAGCTGAAATAGCCTCTCAAGGCTATCAGCATAGGTAGGATAAAAAAAAAAGTAACATTATAAATGATACTTACACTAACAACAAGGGACAGTCCTGTGAGCGTGAGTCTCGCGACACTGTCCTTGCCGGGGCAGGGCAGGGGTGGTGCCGCAGGCTCCTCGAGCGGCGCCGGCGCGGGTAGGACGTCGGGCCGCTCCTGCACGCGCCCCCGTGCCTCCCTTGGTGCCGCGCCTGATGCTCCATACATACTGCAATTATATAGGATTATTCAGTTTAAATAGCTAACAACATAACGTATCATTAATACTTTAGATTAATTATTACTAAAACATGACCGAGCTTAGCTCGGCTTTTTTTTATAACGCCATCTTGTTGTATCTTTAAAGCAGTAAAAATAGTATTATAATTCGCCAATAGATGTCGGGAAGAGTCATAAAGTTGATTATCGATAAAGTTCATTATTGAAAACACGAATAAAACAACATTTTCTGAAAATAAATCGTAGGTAGATCGATTTATCGCCCCCGAAATCCCCTGTATACTAAATTTTATGAAAATCGTTCTAGCCGTTTCCGAGATTCAGATTATATATATACAAGAATTGCTCGTTTAAAGGTATAAGATAATTTACGTAATTACTGGTGGTAGGACCCCTTGTGAGTCCGCACGGGTAGGTACCACCACCATGCCTTTTTCTGCTGTTAAGCAATAATGCGTTTCGGTTTGAAGGGCGGGGCAGCCGTTGTAACTATACTGTGACCTTAAAACTAATATCTCAAGATGGGTGGCGCATTTACGTTGTAGACGTCTGTGGGCTCCTGTAACCACTTAACACCAGGGCTGTGAGCTCATCTACCCATTTAAGCAATAAAAAAATACTCGTTACCAATACCAACTCGATACCAACTCAATCCAACTCAATACCATATTACTGTTCAAAGTTTCAAACTGATTCGACACTTAGAAGTAGGTTAATCTACTTCTAAGATCTAACTGTACTTCATAGTTGAAGATAAAGCTAACAAAATCGCTTTAAAAGTAATTTTGAAACATGTGAAATAGAGTACAGAGCTTAAGCATGCTTATAAACAAAAACGGCTCGCTTTTCGTGTTAACCAATTAACATGACGTGTTCCAATATTTTAACCGACTTCCAAAAAGGAGGGGATTATCATTATTTTATTCTCCTCTGAACTTTTTTCTAAGCGAACCTATTTTGATGATATTTTACTTAGATGTAGTGCTTCTAATATGGTTCCATTTAAATATTATTAAGATGTTACAGTACGTTTTTCAATTGTTCTTACTGATGTATATTTAATTAACATCGACAATTTTGCTGATATTTTGATTTTATTTTGATAGAAAGCAGTTTGTTTTTGGTAAAAAAAAGAAATTATTTAAATTATACTCGTGCAACCTGATTCTAAAGTGACATAATATAAAAATGACTATTAAAAAGTTCACTGAGCATCACGAAATATAAAAAATCTGGGATAGAACGAAATGCTTTTTACATAAATTTATTTCGATAAAAATTAATTGCACTAAAGAAGCTATCAAAACTATAAACATTTTTATTTTTCAATAGTGCACATATTACGGTAGTTCGTAAAGTCCATCTATGTCGCTTCATCACAAAATTTCCTACACAAGCACGTCCTAAAAAAAACTGAATTCGATCGTAAATATCACACACCATTGAATAAATATTCAGAATCGGCAGCTGGAAACAAATTCGAAACAAACACAGCTAGCTTTTGCGGTTCGGTGCCCGTGTTTTGTACAGTGTGCTTGTAAATTCTGGTTACAGTTAAAAGTTTGCAAACAAAAAAAAACAATTGTACGAATATTTTGTTGATTTCCATTTCGATTTTTTATAAAAAAAAAAAATGTGTTTGTTAGCGCAGATATCTTCAAAAAGTAGATATAATTGTTTGAGTTTTTAAGTAAACATCTGGACATTCTATATTATAATCCAAAAGTACGCAAGTACATATAGGCAATACACTTTTAAATTTGACTAGTTTTATTTCAAGTCAGTGTGTGTTAGAAAAAGTTATCTTCTATCGATCGATCGCTCTATTTTCATAGAGATTTGGAACCTACCTACCTCAAACGTTCCGAAATTTAAATAATTTTATGACATACTAGATACTAATAAAAGTATATCAATCTAAATTTAAATAAACAATTTTACGTTAATTAATTATTCGTCCATGTTTTTTTTAACTAAGACTCAGTGCTAATATAAAATTCTTATTACGACATTCTGTTTTAATTAAATGAAGACGACCTAATTTTTCCCAGAAAAAAAAACCTTTTTAAAATTTTGGACCGATTTTTCATAATTCTACTTAAAACTTAACGATCTTTATCTCAATATCAAGAAACACGATATTCAAGCCATTTTCACGAACCTTCACCTTAATATAACAACCTTCAAATACTTAGCGTTATGACCCAAATGCCATATCCATAACCCACTTCAAGTCAAATCTAATACATTAGTAATTAAGTCGTAGGTACATCGAGTTAATAGTTAGTACTCCACACGACAAACTCGTTAAGTCTTCTGTCTGGAATTACCGGTAGATAAACGGGTCTGCCAACGTGTTCTGTGGGTATGCGAGCAAACAATTTAATGTCATATGACGTAGTTAGTTGCAACTTGGATATATATTTTGTGAAGAATTACCGTAACAGCTATTAAATGAAGATTGTTTAATTACTAAACATTCACTACCTACTTAAACATAATTTTTTTTTTGTTTTTTTATTGCTTAGATGGGTGGACGAGCTCACAGCCCACCTGGTGTTAAGTGGTTACTGGAGCCCATAGACATCTACAACGTAAATGCGCCACCCACCTTGAGATATAAGTTCGAAGATCTCAAGTATAGTTACAACGGCTGCCCCACCCTTCAAACCGAAACGCATTACTGCTTCACGGTAGAAATAAGCAGGGTGGTGGTACCTACCCGCGCGAACCCTCAAGATGTCCTATCACCAGTAAACAAATGAACATTAAAAAGGTATCTACCGGTGCGGCTTACATTAGGCCCTGTCAACGCTGAATACAATTTCTACTACACATTATTTTTTATCGTGGAAATTGGTTGTTACCATCTGCAAATAGACCGACACAGTGCCATCACGCAACACGCTTACTCTGCGACGCAGACTTCAGCTAAATAAATATTGTTACGCCGGTAAGAGTAACACCGTCTATCGCCGAATAGACGAACGAATATCGAAGGATCTAGTAACATGTAGAACGGAGGAGTAGAACGCCATCTATTGTCAGATAGCCGAAAACACAATACTCGACTTTTGTGGAATATTCTCGACGATTCTAGGGATTTCGTCTCGACTATAAAAGTGTTGCAGAGATGGCACGCAGTCAGTTAGTAATCGGAACTACTCGAAACACCGAACGGATCATCTGAAGCGAAGCGAAAGAAGCGAATTGAGAGTTTTAAAGTGTTTTAAATATCCTAAGTGATAAATACAGTGCTAACTTGTAATTCGGTAGAATTTTATTTATCCCGGACCCCAGCGCGTAACAATATGACGTAATGAAAATAGTTTAGGCAACAACAACCCACAGATTATCCTATGGTCTGATAGGAAAACTAAGACAAAATCGCCTACAACAAATAGCGTTAACCACTGAGCGATCATGATACTGTCGCCGAATACGCAGTAACAGGGATGATCCTTGATGTCGACACTTTCTAGTGAGCCTAGATTTTCCGTTCGTTTTTTTTTTTCGTGTATGATGCGTTTATTTAATGGGCTAGCCTTTTTTGAGGCAAAGCCCTTATAGGATCATTCGGCTATGAGCTCCCGGAGACATTATAACAACAAAATTTACTACCTTTTGGGTGTCAGACACATAAATTAAGCAGACTAACTCTATTCACACTCTGATTTAATCTGCCAATTTTACATTGATGCGTCTTATTCAACTACTGTGTTCTGACCGCCTGCATTCTCTTTTAAATATGTCTCAGCCGGCTATCCCCTCTTGACTGGTCACGTGGCTTAGTCACGTAACTTTAAAAGCAGTCAATTGAGCAACTAATAAACAATAATATTTAAATGTTTTGAAATACAAATCTCATAATTAATAATAATTCTTGATATCTATAGGACTTTATATAATCATATTAATATAAATAATCATAAACCTTACATACATGTATGCATTTCTATTAAAGAAAAATTCTTCGAATATTCCGTGACGTCATACTTTATTATGATTGACTACCACGACTACCAGAAATCGAATTTCCAATGTCCACATCATAAATGGGTCCATTGGGTAAACAGTGCTAATTTTAATTATTCTAATTAACTATTCCGTTGCTTTGTAAATGCGGTTATTTTAATTCTGTTTGTTTCATTGTATCATCGTGTCGTTCTTTATTAACACAAAAGTTTATCACGAACGAGTTACGATCGCTTCTTACATACCATTCAGCGATTATTTGAAATCTGTTCTCATCTATATCTGCATACGAAAAATTATAAAACTTACATTAACATTTTTGTTAAGATTTTTTCATGTAGATATGAATTATTTTATGCATTTTCACATGACTGGATAATATCGGAGTATGTAATAGGGCCTTTTAATCTAATAGCATCGTGTTATAAAAATCAGACAGTCATAATTTTATTTATTCCATGGCTCCTAACTATGGGGCGTAAATTGAACTGGTAAGCTAAGTCGTATAGTAAAATTCATATCATTAATCCTAATAATTCAATAATGTATGTTTCAATAATCAAAGATACTCATTTCCGAAATAAAGCACAATTGTGTAGGTATCTTAACTCGAAAAGAAATACAAAATCCGAAACGGATCATCGCTAAGTTCACAATTAAATATTAAATTAAATCAATTGACAAACATTAAAACAAAACGAAGCTTGAATCTGAAATTCAGTGAGACGTTAATCGTATAGTTTAAGTACGAATAATTTTTCAAAGAACTAGAATGGCAAAAATTAAGCTCCATTTATATGCATTGAATAATAGACTCCATTATAAGAGTTCGTTGAACTTAGTTCGCGTTTTAACGAAAGAGTAAAAGATAACTAACTAACAAATGGCCAGTCTAGATTTTTCATGTTTCAGTTATGTAAACAAAACTATAAAACATTCTTCCACGAAATATTTCTTTCTGAATACTCTAATACGGATAATATTCTTTTTAAATATATTACTTACCTAATATCATCGTCATCAGGATGATGGTCCGGTGGTAGGTCAAGCCGGAGGTCACCCAGCGCCCGCGCCGCGTGCCTCCTCCGCCTTTCAAACCACAGCCTTCTTTGCTCCCTCTCATTATCTCTTTGTACGCCAAAAAACGTTTGTGTTTCTCTCTTAAGGTAATCCCGTACAGCGACAGTGTGAACTCTTCGCAATCTGACGCCATCGTCTTGAGTGGGCGGTAGTAATGGTTCGGGTGGAGGTTGAACGATAGGTACGGGGGGCGCGGAGACCACGCGCGGTGGCGAGGCTGGCGCTGGGTGGGGTGCTGCAGCCGCTGCAGTCGCCGCCGCTGACGATTGACACGTCAACTGCGGAGCCAGCAACCCTGTACTCGATCGCCTAAAACAAAGAAAACAAAAATTATAGTTTCTCTCTAAAATAATTTACGCATTTGGAATATTCTCGTCTCATCTATTCGATTGAATTGAAACAAAATACATTCGTTTGTACATTTATAAAAAATATATTTGTGGAACCTTCAAAGCGCGATCGATCTATTACATTATTAATTACGTGCATATGCACGTTCAAAATACGAATACTAAAAAAAAAAGTATGAATTTAGCGACATTCGAGTTTTGTGGGCGATATTGACTCATTTTAATCAAATACTGCTATGCGTGTTTTCGATTCTAGATGGCTTCATTGAATTAATAAATTTACGGTTCAGTATTTCTAATTTCGTTATTATTGGCATTCTGTTTCTTATTTAATATAATAATCTGNATTCGAGTTTTGTGGGCGATATTGACTCATTTTAATCAAATACTGCTATGCGTGTTTTCGATTCTAGATGGCTTCATTGAATTAATAAATTTACGGTTCAGTATTTCTAATTTCGTTATTATTGGCATTCTGTTTCTTATTTAATATAATAATCTGCTAAGTTGCATTATCTCATGTTTTGATGTCAATCAATGCTAAAAATCAGTAATGATTTCACAATGTCTGTAATAAATACTTTTTATACCTACTTATCTACCAGTGCCTCGAGAGAGGCTTATTACTGGCGGTAGGACCTTCTTTGGAACCCACGCGGGTAGGTACCACCACCCTGCCTATTTCTGCCGTGAAGCAGTAATGCGTTTCGGTTTGAAGGGTGGGACAGCCGTTGTAACTAACTATAGTTGAGACTTTAGAACTTATATATCAAGCTGGGTGGCGCATTTACGTCGTAGATGTCTATGGGCTCCAGTAACCACTTAACAACAGGTGGGCTGTGAGCTCGTTCACCTATCTAAGCAATAAATAAATCAAAAGGTAAATACGAGATTTTTTTCCCAATTAGTCTAGTGCAAGAATCTGTTTCTAGGTACTATAAATAATATATAGGTATAATAATAATAAGCAAAAAACCAGGTCGAAGTTAAATTTTCGTTCGATTCTCCACAGTTCACGACGAAACAAGTCCATAATGTACCCAAATTACTATAATACCATGCAATTTTTTTTTATTAATAATCACTGGTCGCTTTTGTAAGTATTTTTTTATGAAAACACTATTACACTTCATATCTAACATACCTTTAAAACCGGCACCCGCCTAAATACCAAACGGAATGCCTACCGAACAACATAGCCGATGGCGTCTAACAAATGAGAAGCTACGGAATTCAAAGTCCCCGAGCCGGACAGTCATCGGCAAATTGGCCGGATTGATTCAGCATTTCCCGTTGCAATTCCATTGCAAATTGATCTATCTACACTCGGTTAGTTTGCTATTGAAAACATTCGGCAGTTAAATTCTGGCACGAATTAATCTAATTGTTATTGTCCTTTTCATAACTGTTTTTATTATTTTTTATTATTCATGTTCTTTTTATTTTTTAATATATTTTACAATGATGTGTATTGGTCGGTCTGATGCTGGTGTGCGTGTCACTCCGCAGGTGCCGGCGGAAGATCAGCGCCGCAGTACCGATTGTCTCGATACTGTTAGGCATTGCTGAGCCGGTAACCGTTTCCAAGCCTCCTTATTTTTGTTATCTTTTTTATTTATTTTTTGTACTTAATTTGTGTTTGGAATAAATGTTTATTATTATTATTATGTGTATTAAACACTGCCACGCCTGGGAAGACGGCAGGACACACTCCGGCGAGGTGGGCAACAATCGGCCGGAGCGCCAGGGACTATTGGGAGAGAAACCGGCGAACTATACGGGCATTGTCGAGCAAGACTGCTTTTTGCATTTGGGCCACCACCGACTTTTTGTTGAGACCAAGCCTCTCGAGATGTTTTGAGAGGCTTTTAGGGACCAAACCATTCACCGACACAACTACCGGGATTATTTCNGCACCGCCGACATTTAAGTCCTGCATAGATGCGATAGACACACGTCCTTCAGCTGGTGCAAGAGAGGAGGCCGGAACAGCCTCGAGTCGTAGTTGTTCGAGTTCGTTTGCGCTGAAGATGTTAGAGCGCATTATGAAACGAACTCGGTCGGCTAGGTTCTGGTCTGTGATGTGTGTCAGCGATGGCTCAAGCGCTTGAAAATTACGAAGTAGTCTTGCTTGACGCCCTGTGCTGCCTGTTTCTCCCCCCACAGCCCCAAAGTGGGCGCGCATGACATTGGAATTTTGTTCACGGGTCCATCGCATGCGCCGCCCTCCACCGAGTGCGGGTGTCTGTTGCGGAGTCCTTGTGGACTCTGCAGGCACCAAGCCTCCCGGTGGTGATGATGATGGGGGTTCGACCCGCTGAAATGGTCTTAACGAGTCAGATCTTTGGTTTGTTTTAAAGGTTTTACTCATCGTTGGGCTTTTATGTGGGGTCTGACAGTCGCTGCAGACAGAGCCCCATATCTGCAGAAGGCTAGAATACAGTGGAGGGTCGCCAGTCACTCCAAGGGGACCGTTCACGACCTAGACTTAGCGCCCTAGGCCATGCAGCCGCTCGGCACGGTGCCTTACACCTTCGGCTAGCGCTGGTTGCTTGCGCGGATGGAACAACCATCTCATATTGATTGTTTCACCCGCGGGCGATGGGGTCACCACTTCCCTACGCCCTTTATTATTATTATTATTAAATGCGAGCATGCGATTGTTTTACTGCAATAGGTAGAATCAATGAATGAAGCAATTGCTTTTATAGCAGAGAGAAATTTTGTTTACGTGAAATATATCGCATAAGATAAATTTGAAAAATAAATCTTCCAAGTAACTGAATTTAAAAAAAATTTGTACTTTTTAATTTATTACCATCCTAACTAAAATAATTTAAATTTAAATAGTACGTTATTCAAATTTTAACAATCAATATTTACTATACGAAGTGCGTCTTATTTACTATGTAAGTGTTATGGAATTCAATTTACGACTTGTAAATTCAAGTATTTTACAGGGACTATCTAAAATTGGACCTTTGATTTGCGTACCTCAATAAATTCTCAGATCTACGTTATCTAGATCAAATGTTATCTGAAATCAAGCGCTACGAAATTTAACGAAAATTTCTCAAATTACCTCTCTAATGCCTTGGGTTTCTAATATATTCACGTGAAACATGAACTCCTTCGCTTTAATATTGGTTAGAAAGCTATTTTTAATTACTGTAAAAGGGCTAATAAGTCACTTGAATAGAGTAGAATGGGATATGCTAAAGAAAATAATTAAATTAAATTATCTATTTGCTATAAACCAACACTTTTGATTTACTGATCGTTGCCAGTTCAATCAAGGCCCACAAAGTATACTGAAAACAATCGCGGGTGCCGAGAAATTTGAAGATTACAATAGATAATTACTGGTGGTAGGACGTCTTGTGAGTCCGCGCGGGTAGGTACCACCGCCCTGCCTATTTCTGCCGTGAAGCAGTAATACGTTTCGGTTTGAAGGATGGGGCAGCCGTTGTAACTATACTTGAGACCTTAGAACTTATATCTCAAGGTGGGTGGCGCATTTACGTCGTAGATGTCTATGGGCTCCAGTAACCACTTAACACCAGGTGGGCTGTGAGCTCGTCCAACCATCTACCAATAAAAATAAAAAAAATTAGTTTTACTTGAATCAAAGACGAATAATATTACAAGCACAATTATTATAACACAAAACTTGGAACTGAAGGAAAGGCTCTTCCAGAAAATAAGTAATTACTAATAACTGCTAATAACTAAGTAACTACAATTATTATTCAATGTTTAATTAAAATATTTAGAGATAACAAAAGGACTCAACTCAAAAGGCAACTCAAATAGGAAACAGGAAAATGAGTATATGAGACTAATAAAGTAATACGACACAAATTAAAAATAATTACAGCCCATCAATGTTTACAACACAGTATCTAAAAAACTACAATTAACTAATTGTTTTATTTGTTATTACTACGTCGCATTTTCATCGAAACGAACGAATGTTATTTCATTGACTCCTCATCCCCAAAACTGAAGGAATACGTTTCCTTAATGAAATCTGAAAACTAAATTTTAAAATGCATTTTTATGACGGTATGTTTTATTTTACTCATAAAGCGTGATTAGAGTATGTACATCTGAATTAATAGGCGATTTCCGTAATTAATAGCATAGCGACGACAGAAATAAATCATGCGGTGTAAAAAATTGAATTTGCTTTAAAAAAGAAACCGATGAATATGTCGTATGTATTAAACACAATTACACAAGTTTTTTATTATTTTTATTGCCCTTGTAGGCAGACGAGCATGCGGCCCACCTGATGGTGAGTGGTTACCGTCGCCCATGGACTTCAGCAATGCCAGGGGCAGAGCCAAGTCGCTGCCTACCGCTTAATACTCTCCACAAGCCTCGTTTGAAGAAGGACATGTCATAGCGCTCGGGAAACACCGTGGAGGGGAACTCATTCCATAGCCGAATGGTACGTGGCAAAAAATATCTCTGGAAACGCACTGTGGATGACCGCAGTGGCTCCAGGTAGTATGGATGAACTCTACTCCGGTGGCGGGCGGTGCGATGGTAAAAACGAGATGCCGGTATCATCTCGAACAATTCCTCAGGGCACTCCCCATGGAACATACGGTACAAAATACAGAGGGAACCGAAGTCCCTCCGCAGACCCAGAGGTTCCAAACGACAAGTTACCTCTTAAGCAAAGCTATTAATAATAGTCGTCATAGATTGTCGCAGCATTGTATTGTGCTAGCTCTCGAGTCACAGGTGGTAATGCGAGCGCGCTGTAATTTGCACGCAGCGCAGTCTGTACGTAAATCATGATATAACGCCCCGTACTAAGCAATGTCTTTGACAAATATTCTTATTATTATGTCGCGTGCGAAGAACGTGGCCTGCTTAAACATCTCGTGCAGTGTTAGACCTTTGTTATTGTTAATACATACGTAATGTTTAACTGACATAGTTTTAAGT